TTACTAAACCACTACACATGATTTTGTGGTTTAGAATTGACCTAATTCTGGTAGTCCGGATGGGATAAAAGAGGCAAGAAGAAGAGAAAGTTCCTCATATTTTTTTTTAACACAGATGGTTTTTTCACACAGCATCAGTAACACTATCTAACATACCCCGAAAGAGGTTTGGAGTCTCCCAAATATGCTTTGGAATCTGGTTTCTGACACTCACTGAGCTTCCACGTTCTTACTGAACATGGAAAAAAGAGATAATACCTGGGGGAACTGTTTTAAATATTCAGTAAGGCATGTATGTGAAGCCTGAGCAGAAGCCTAGGGCCCGTTAGTTTCTTCTCTCTAATTCTCTCTACCCGATACATGCTCTTCGAATCCCTTTATTGTCATCAAAAATACACTCTGTGTAAGGCTGTGGGCTAGTGAAACACTTCTCATCTACTTTTAAAAAATAAATTGGAGGACCGGGGATTTAGCTCAGTGGTTTCACTGCTTGCCTTGCAAGCACAAGGTCCCGAGTTTGATCCCCGGTACCAAAAAAAAAATTAAAATAAAAAAAATAAATTGGTATATTGGGCAAAGGGCCTAAAGTCTAGAGTTCGTTATGTAAACTTCAAGTCAATTCTTGACCTCAGAATATGGCTGCTTTGGCAATTTAGAAAACAAAACAATTTAGCTACCCATCTTAAACTAGAAGGTCAGAATGCGTATCTTAGATTATTGCCAGCGGGTTTTCCTAGTAAGTTGGCTGTGCTTGTACTCAAAGCTGATTGTCACTAATTATTATATAGTCTTGAGCCAACCCCATGCAATTACATGGGAATTACAACATGAAATGCAGGTTATTTGAAATTTGACTTTGAAAGTGCTCAGCTTCAGCAACCTCCATGTTGCTAAACTCAGTGAAGAGTTTTCTAGTTTTGTCTCATCCTCTGTTGGCCACTCTTTATTTTCTTCATGAAAACTTTCCTGTCTTGGATCTGTTCAGCACCATACTTCCTTGCTCTCTTCTACCTCTTTGGTCAGTTCTCTTTGGCTTCTCTAAAAACTGGAATTCCTAAAGGTGCACTGTTGCCTTTCTGATTTTCTTTTCTTTGCTTTGCTTTTTTTTTTTTTTTTGGTTCTGGGGATTGAACTCGGGACCTTGTGCTTGCATGGCAGGCAGTGGAACCACTGAGCTAAATCCCCGGCCCCCTGCCTTTCTTCTCTTACCATGTGCTTTCTCACCTTTAGGAGGTGAGCTTCACTCTGTGGCTTTGTAGACCATCTGTGCTGATGCCTCCTAAATGTAGATCTTCACCCCAGACCACGACTCTGTAACCCTACCTTGTTTACCCAACTGCCCCATTTTACATCTCTACTATGGCCTCTCAGTCATGGAAAGCTTAATGGATCCAAGTCTAAACCCTTAATTAATTCTCCTTCTAGCAAATTCTCCACTTTCAACATCATGAGTGGAACCACCATATACACGGAGGCTTTAAGCCAGATGCTCAGCAGGTCATCTTCAATTTCTTTTTTCCTCACTCTCATATCCCATCCCTTGGAAATTGTAATCAATTTTGCCATCAGAATGTACCTCAAACATCTTCCCTTCTGCCTATTGCCACCAAGCTAAAGTAAGTCACCACTATCTCTCACCCAGATCCTCTATGGCAGTAGAAACTAAGAGAGAAAGATTCCCAACAACATAGAACCAAGCTCAGTGACCTGTGGATCAAACCAAGTATTCAAGCATCTCCACAAGTGGCCTGTCAGAGAAGAGGCGAGAGAGGACAGCCCAGAAAACATATCTAAATTAACAATGGCAAAAAAGTCCAAATTTACTTAAAACTACAAACCTACAGAATCATATCAAGTCATATTACAGTGAAAACACCAAAACTCAATACTAAAGAGAAAATCATAACAGAAGTCAAAGAAGAAAGAACACACAGTGGAGCCTCGGTTCATGAACTTGATTCTTTCCATAATTCTGGTCAAAAAGTTCATTCCGACTTTAACTGCAACCAGAATCTTGGAACGAATTCTGCAATCAGAACCATGTAAATTATTAAGTTCATGAACTGAGGTTCCACTGCATTACATAAAGCAGAATGAAGCAGATTTCTCCTCAAACTGTACCAGCCAGAAGATAACAGAATGACGATGTTAAAGTAATGTGGGGAGAGGAGGCTAAGAAACTATTCACTTCAACTTTTATATTGAGTATCTTTCGAATGGTATCTTTCAAAATAAAGGCAAAATAAGGATGTTTTTAGAGCAATAACAATAAAAATGTCATTACCAAAAGACCTGCACTACAGTAAATATCAAAGGAAGTTTTTCAAATGGAATAAAAATATCAGAATATTTTTATTATTTAAAGGTAGGTGGTGAGAATTTAATGTGTATCACAAATCTGAGAATTTTAACAACAACATAATTAAAGTAGAATAGTTAACATATTAATTTGGAATTGGAAAAAAACATTAAAACTAAAAGATGGCCCCAAAACAAGTAGAAATGGAAACAAAGAAGACAGGGAACAAATAGAAAACAAACAGAAAGATGGTAGACTCTAAGTCAAGGCTGTAAGTCATTACATTCAGTTTAAATGGTCTAATTGCTATGGTTAAAAGACAGAGAATTTTAGGCTAGATAAAGTAGGCTCATTTTTGCATGTCTACATAAAGCACACTTAGAAATAAGGTCATATCATTAAAATAACATATTAAACACTTGCCATGAAAACACAAATAATAAGAAAGCAAGAATAACGGTATGACTAACAGATGAAATAAACTCCAGACCAAGGACAATTGCCAGAGGTCATGAAAGCTTTTCATGATGATAAAGAGACAAATAATCAAGAAGACATGACAACCGTGTGTGCGTGTGTGTGTGTGTGTGTGTGTTTAATTACTGACCTTCAAAATACATTAGGCAAAAACTGACAGAACTGAAAAAGAAATACACAAATCTAGAAGGATAGCTAGATATTGCAACATCCCACCCTGAGTAACTGATAGAAGGAGGAGATATAAACGAGCAGCATCAAACGCCAGCTTGGCTCAATTGACTTTGAACCATGTACATTGAACAATTGAGTGCACATGAAACATTCACTGAGACCATATTCCTAGTCATAAAACAAATCTCAATAAATTAAAAGAATTGTAAATTCTAAAATCTTCCAAGCTGCACACATATGAAAAGGTAGTATTTGTATAAAATATGTAATAGAGATACGTTCATGTTGCAGCAAAGGATTATAACTTCCTCACATCACCATTGCTTTAAAATGTTTTTCTCAAATAACCCCGTTTCCAGTAAGACACTATAATGAGCAAATGTTAAACATGGCCCTATAAAAATAAATGTGCACCATTAAAATGTAAAGTATATGATTCGCTTTTGATGTTAGGGTTCATGTGATATTTTTATCGTGGAAGGAAAAAAGAAGTGCTATTACCAAAAACAAAAGCCAGTTTGAAATCCCTGACTTATTTGGGAGACCCATGCCAATTGGCACATTATAAATTTCTTCTCTCTGATTATTGTAACCATTCAACAGAATGGAAATACCGATAAATAACAATAACAATCACAGACACCACTGGGGACCGCTTCCCCTGAATGCTCACTAAGTACCAGGCATTGTTCTAAATACTTTTCACACATTGAATTCTTGCTCTGAATTTCCTCCCATTTTGCAAGTAAGGAAAAGAAAGCTCAGAAAAGTTAAATAATTTGCACAAGATTACACAACTAGAGAACAGCCAATGCCAGAATCTAAACTCAGTAAAATAATTTCACCAGTAAAATAATAATGTAGTTTTCCATTTTCCAAACCAATGTCAGATAACCTGGCATTAGACATGAAAACCGCATGATTTCCTACTTCAGCATTTTGTAAAGTATTTAATTGTTTTTCTTTTGCCTTGACTTGAAATTTGCCCCTTCACTGGCCTGTCTTGTTTGATAAGTTCAACAAACATCAAGATTCTTTGTTCATTTTCAAAAAGGATTACAATGATAAGCTTTTATAATTAAGACTATCTCAGTGGAGATTTCCTTTACCACTGTTCTCTTGCCTTCGTCTTCTAATTATTAGAGATGAATTTTCTGATTTTCCAAAATTATATTTGCTTTAAATACAAGTTACAAATTAACTGCTTACAAAAATGCTCTCCCCTCCTTCTGAACTGTTATATAATGGAAATCCCTCTTGCTCTAGTATATAAAAGCAATAATGATTCAAAATTGAATCATCTATTAAGAATTTGAATAAAAAGACTCTATTTAAAATTGTCAACATTTGGGACACAGGGACTGCTTAAAAAGTATCCCAAAGGTGAAATAAAAGGCTGCTTAAGCACAACAAAATATTTGATGTTGAGATATAAACAGCCTAAAACCAAGTTGGAAATCTCAAGGAAATAGAATGAAATGTACATATGAAAATATCACCTCTGTCTATTACCCCACAGCAAAAGGTAAACTCACTTTGGAATGACATGACTGAGCATCTCTACAGTCTTTTGCCTTTTCCAAAATAATTTTGCATACATTATCTTATTTTACCACCCCCCGAATACCGTGAGACAGGTATTCTCATGATTCTCTTTTATAGATAATGAAGTAGAAGTTAACTGTCTAACATCACTCTGGAAAACTACCATTTATTAAGTGCCTACTATATGCTGACTACATTCTACACCGAGGATCTTATTTTATCTGCTTTAGCTCTTATAAAGGAGGCATCATTGTTCTTATTTTACAGACAGGGAAATTGAGGATCAAAGTGATTAAGTGATTTCTCCCAATTCCCCAGCTCCCATTGATTACAATTTGATTCACACATGGGCTGGTTTGAGTGCCCAGCCTGGTCCCTTGCTCTCCTCCTTCGCTGGGTCAGTAAGAACTTGCAATGAGGCCGATGTGCCCCAACACAGCAGACAGCAGAGTGCCATGGCACCCCAGCAGGTCACTCCTATCTCACAAAGACATGGCCCACTTACTGGTCCACCTTGTCCTGTGCAGTGACCCAGGGCTGGCAAGACACCAAGGACAAGAGGAAGAGAGCAACAGCCATCATCTCATCCAGAAACCACCACCTTTTGCTCACTTGAAGAAATAAAACTATTCAGGGAGTTGGAGTAAAAGACTAGAGGGTGGGGTCTTACATGTAGCTAATGCTCAAAACTAACAGCACCCTTGATTTCTGCTCACAGGTGATTAACCAGTAACCAGGGTATTGATTAGTCAAATACCTTAAAAATAGTCAGACACCGAGACCCATGGCCCTTTAGACCTTTTGAAAAGCAATAACCATGAGTTAATGAAAACTAATATTCAACCAGTAACAATTTAGCAGAAGATGTTATTTTCAGATAGAGAAAACAAAACGAAACAAAACCAAGATCCACTTGCAGAATTCTTGCTCTGTTTGAGTGGCGTTTGGAACTTCTAAGGTCAGATCAATCTGTTTTGGAAGATTGAAACAAGGCTAATACTGGTATATCTGCTCAGACTTAAGCAGCCAGATAAAAGTAGGAAATGCATGTAATTACATGGAGGTGCTGCTATATATTGCTAAACATCTGGGGCCTGAAAGATATTAGTGGACTTTCCACTTGTCATTACATGCATTGGGTATCATTAAGAGGCAGCCTATTTGTGTCTAGAGTGGACCAGCTATCTTAAACAGACACTTCCAGGAGCACTCTCTGGAATTATAAGGTCAGTAAGATGCCACACATATGCACTGAGGAAGGCATACCAACATACACTCTCTTACTCTTCCACACATACATTAAATTACCTTAAGCAAACAGAGGCAGATAAGTGGATAGATGGCTAGACAGACAATTAAGCACCTACTATGTGGTGGGCCTTCTGTCTGTCTTGTTTAATCCTCATGACAAGACCATGACATGAAAATTATTAACTCCATTTGCAGTTGAAGAAATGGAAGCCCAAAGGAGTTAACTGTTTGGCCAAGGATGTACAGCCACCTCTGTAGCCTTTGGGAGATTCAGATTCTGCCCGTAGCAGGAATAGCCAGTTGCATCATTACTAATCTCAAATAAGTTATGGGGAGTTGTGTTACAGGCATCTCATGGGCAGAGGCAAGGGATACTGCTGAATAAACTACACAGGACAGCCCCCACAGCAAAGAATAATCTAACCCCAAATGTCAGCAGTACCTAGGTTGGGACGCACTTCCCAGGAAGAGGCTAGCCTGCCTTCCCCTGCCCCTGAAATCCTGGTGGATTAATTTTTTTCTTTTCATGTGCAGACTAATAGGGTCAGCTTTCTTAAACTAGCTCCTTATTGAAAGTTCTCTGGTGACTCTGCTCCTTACCCAAGAACTCAGTGGCCTTCAGGACTGCTCTTTAACCATTAGTCACCTCTCCCACCTGTATCCCTAGCACGGTCCCTTAAGTTCTATCATATTCCTGTGTTTCGCTTTTCTTCCTCTTTCTTCCTGACTGCCTTGATCTGTTTCAAGGCCTCATCTCCCCTTCTGAAGCCTAACTGATTCCTAGTCTTCATTCCATACCTCCTTCTATATCACTGCTGGATTCACCTACAAGAAAACTGGCTCTGGTTCACTCTTTTGCTCTGCAGCTTTCAGTGGCTCCCCATTGTCTGCAAAGCTATAAGTCCAAATTCCTCCATAAATGGGTCCCAGCCCAGCTTTGCAACCCTGCCTTCCAAGCCTTAAAGTGATCCAACAGGACATGGGCTAGCTTCCTCTTACCTCCATATTGGTGTAAATATGAAGTGTTCCCCCAAAGATTCATGTATTGAGGGTTGATACCTCAAGCAGTATGCTCAGCGGTGGGGCTTTGACTTCAGCAATGGATTAACCCATTGATGAATTCATAGCTGGATGGGCTTATTTGGAAGTAGGTCCCAGTTAGGGGAAGCAGGTCACTAGAGTGTACCCTGCCTCTTCCTCTGTCCTGGTTTTCCTACTCTCTCTGCTTTCTGGCTGTCATGAGGTGAGCAGCTTTACTCCACCACACCCTTCTGCCATGATGTTTCTACCTTAGAGTCAGCCAGCCATGGACTGGAGCCCCTAAATCATAAACCTAAATAAGCATGTCCTCCTTTGCATTGTTTTTTCTCAAGTATTTGATCACATTAAAAAAAGAATCTTAACACACCTTCCTGTACTTTGTCACTGTTCTGACTTTGCCCGCACTGGGCCTTTCACCAGAATGACGCTTATCATCCCTGATCCCCTTACCCTTCTATCCCATGTCCCTTCAAAATCAGGTCTCTCTCAGATTCCCCGCTGATGGTTCCATTTGGAAAGAATTTCTTTGTTATTGAAACCTCATAAGGACCCCACCGGCACTTTTAATTTTTGCCTTATATTATGTTTTTCTGAGAATGGGATAAATACGGAGAATGAATCTTTCTTTAGCGTAAGTTCTGTGTCTGATTCTTCTTTGTAATCACCCATGTCACTTACTACTGAATCTTTAACAAGAAATCTTTGTTGATAGAATAAGCAAATGAGTCAATTAAAAGTAAATTTCTATTTCACAATACTTTCAGGTATATTTTTGCTTTTAATCCTCAGATAGACAGCATTAAACTGAAGAGAATCTTGAAAGTCAGGGACACAGTGGTAAGGAGGAAGAGAACAAAGATAGATGGAGAACCAGACCTTGTGCCTGCCATTGCCAAGGTCCGTTTAACCCTCACAGCCATCTTGCAAGGCTAATAATACTAATGCAGTTTTGAGGATGAGCTCGAGATTCAGAACGGATAAAAGTAGTTTGCTTGCAATCATAAAACCGGTGAGTCTCAGAGTCATGGATGTATCGTCTGTCCCACTGCAAAACTGGACTTCTTTTTGGTCTGGTTGTTTGGCTGTTAAGCACTTTGTCAAGACTAAGGCTGGGTCCTCTAGCAGTGGTCTTCCAGTCCCCTGTCCATTATGCCTTAGTGCTGGGTGAATATCATTCCCAGGGCACAAAGGAAGGAAAGTGAACGGAGTGATAATCACGGGATAAGCAAAAGGGAGCTGCGAAGTCAGACGGGATTGTTCTGTGCGTCTGTGAGAACATACATGTCTGTGATACATGCACACACACACACAGGGCACGCTGGGGCGGCGGTGGAGCCCCCATCTGCTCTCAGTCAAAAATATTCAACGATGAATGAGAAACGCCAAAAACTTGTTAGGTTTGCATGTGTGGATTTCACCTTAATTGTAGCATTCTGCTATCAAAAATAGATAGCTATTAAACACCAGGCAGAAGAGACGGTGAGGTGATAATCCATTTTGAAAACGCATCGCCTGTGTCATGGAAACACTTTGCCCCATCTAAATCAGCCTGTGAGTTATGGCCTCCAAAGAGAACATGCCCTGTGCTGCCTCAGACTGCCACCACAGGGCAACATCCAGGTCTGGAAAGCTTTTAAAAGTTTTGCACCCCCTTCCCCTACGCTGAGCCCAACCCAAACAGGAAGTCCAAGTTCTGCAAATCTAATGCGAAAGCAAGTGATTTCCTGGAGTGAAACACTACTTCAGGTCAGAAAGCGGCTCTAACCAGGCACTGTGTCCTAGTCTTGGGTTCCTCATCTGTGAAAACGAGTGAAAGAACACTTACCTGAGAGGATAAGATTAAACAGTGAATGAGGAAATTCACTCACAACTAACTGGGCGCTTCGAACAGCTGTTTCTGCTTTGCTGAAACAGTGCACCCCTTCCTTGTATCAATTTTGTATCTATTTTTCTTCTTTTATGTGCACGGGTGTTCCATTTAAGTACCTATAAAACTGAGGAGGGGTAGAAAGCACGAGCCTGTTGAGGAGACTGAAGGAGGAGGCTGGAATGTGGGAAGTTCATGTCCAGGCACTGTAGGCCGATTTCAACTCCCCTTGACGGCAGATGCTGCCAGCAGGAGCAGCTGTAGACCCCTGGAGACAAAGTGGTAGAGGGGCTCACTCCCCATTTCTGCCACGTTCCAGTACCATCCTGGCACCTGGAGGGTTTAAAACCTTGAGAGGAACTCAAAGTAGCAACTTTGACTTGGCCTGGTCATCTCACAGTTGCCAGAGCTAGTGACATTTCTTCCAGGAGCTTACTGGTTGGCAGCAACAGAGATGCCTGCGCATATAGTGGTGTGGATCTGTTTGAGGTATGTCTGCCTCTGGGGTGTGTGTGTGATGGCTGTGTGATGATATTCTGCTTCCTCACAGAGAAGCCTACACACTGTCCAGCACAGCACTGGCACGAAGTCTGCAGGGGCTCCCACCCTCCTCTCTCCACTGCAACACTGCGTGTCTGTTATACCTGTTTTTCTCCTGATTGCCGCTGGCTGCAGCAAACAGACACTCGTGGCGGGTTATCCTCTGGCAGTGAAGAGGGGCTGGGTTATGTGATTGGTCTCAATCAGAGGCTCTACACTGGATGAGCTAATGCATGCCTACTGCTTTCCACTTCATCTTGAGCTTTGTGTTTGCACTGAAGGGGGTGGGCTGAGAGGGATTCCTCATCTGGCTCATTAGAGTAGAGATTAAAGACCTATTCTCAAAGAAGGCATTTGGCATTGCAAGCAGCTCCGCCCAAATATGGGTGGTCCTTTGGGAAATCCATCTTGGAATTGGGCTATGATAAAAAGCAGTCAATTCCGAACCACATCACACTGTTCAGGCTTCATCCGCCAGCCAAGTGTGTCCTCTCTGACGCCTTCACTCGCAGCTTGGCACTGGGCAGCCTCAGCCTCTGCTCCCACACAGCCTGACCACACCTCCCTCTCGAGAAGCCATGGAAGCCTGGGGTGTCCCTTCTCACACCTGTAAGTCCTGTGAGCTCCTGGAACCCAGGGCTGCGCCCAGCCCAGAGGATAGGAAATGCTGGTCAGTGGGTGAGCAAGCTTGCAACAGCTGAGCAGACTCACCTGCCCCCATGCAGACAGCAAAGGAGCATGGGGTGAGCACTAAAACCTTAGAAGGGTGGGTCCTGTACAGTCTCTAAGAGCAGGCAACCCTAACTGCCACTCCTGGAAACCACCTTCTCCTCCCTCTCCCACCTTCTCTCCTTCCCAACGCCGTACAGACCTGTCTGTTTGCTGTTGTTCTGATCACTCTGTGATCTGCTCGAAAGCATAGCTCATGATGTACAGTTTTATGCAGTTTCGGGAAGACTTTGGCTTTTAAGT